CCTAGGGTTAAGGAAAAAGTCATTACTGTGCTATCCAGGGGTCTGACACTCTCCTCCCTTCAAATCAGTACTTTCCCCAAACTTTCCTTTGTTATTCTATAAAATATACTCTGGCTTTGTCATGCCATTACTCCTCAAAACTCAACATATCCAGTCAATTCCGTATCATGGGATTGAACATAGCTCACTCTCAAACTGAATCCTCTGTTTCTCTGTCTCTCTCTGTCTCTCTTTCTCTCTCTCTCTCTCTCTCTTTCTCTCTCTCTCTCTCACACACACACACACACAGCTGAAATTTAGTAGGAATATTTCATAGAATATAAGTTTATATCAAAGAGGGGCAAAAAAGCAAAATTGTTAAAAATCAATGTAGGGCTGGTGCCGCGGCTCAATAGGCTAATCCTCCACCTGCGGCGCTGGCACACCGTGTTCTAGTCCCGGTCGGGGCGCCAGATTCTGTCTCAGTCACTTCTCTCCTGTCCAGCTCTCTGCTGTGGCCGGGAGTGCAGTAGAGGATGGCCCAAGTCCTTGGGCCCTGCACCCGCATTGGAGACCAGGAGAAGCACCTGGCTCCTGGCTTCGGATCAGCGTGGTGCACTAGCTGCAGCGTGCCGGCCATAGCGGCCACTAGAGGGTGAACCAATGGAAAAGGAAGACCTTTCTCTCTGTCTCTCTCTCTCTCTCACTGCCCACTCTACCTGTCAAAACAAACAAACAAAAAAACAAACAAACAAAAAATCAATGTAGAAAAAAGACAAAGAAACTAGACAATGAATATTTACATGGCCAATTAGCTTTCATTATTTGATGAATGTTTGGTGCAGTGGATAAGACGCCATTTAGAATACCTGCATTATATATCAGGGAGCCTAGTACTAGCTCTGCTCTGGATGCTAGCTTCCTATTAATGCACAGCTTGGAAAACAGCCTGTAATGGTTCAAGTAGTGGAGTCCTTGCTACCACATGCGTGAGGTGGATGGAGTTCCCAGCTCCTGGCTTCTGCCTCTCAGCCCTGATTGTTGTGGACATTTCAGGAGTGAGCCATGATAGAAGACCTCTCTCTGTGTCCCTGTTTCTCTCTCTCTCTCTCTCTCTCTCTCTCTCTCTTTCTTTCTATTCCTTACAAATATTTAAAAAATATTTAAAATTTTTAAAATGTTAATATGAACTTTGATGAGTCTTAATTTGTATAGACTATATAAAATCTCAATATAATTGGAAAAATTGACATTAAGGAAATAAGACTCAATTGAGGTAACCAGCATACTAGGGAGAAAATAAACTTTTCCTCATCTTTACTATAATCATATACCAGGAGTAAGAGTTCCAAAAATAGAAGATGCGCTCAAATATTTCTTTCTCTTGGGTATCTTTAATGCTTGAATAAGGGCAATTAAATAACGGGCTAAATTTTTAAGTAAGAAGGTAAATAGAAAATCCATTTCTAAGAGCTGCAGGCTGCTACTTTTTCAACAAATGTTATACATTTATAGGGAACAGAAGTGATTAGACGACTCAATGTTTTAATCAAGAAAGTCCCCCAGATATGTACGGCAGAGTAGATGTCTGGTTCAGGGTAAGAAGCAGAATTACATTATTTTAAAATAACAGTGGTAATTTTAATCAAGATTTTTGCCTAAATTTGTGAGCTAAGTGAGTAACTGATTACATAATAATCAAAAAAGTAATCTTGTTAGATAGTGATGCCCAAATTTTCCTATGTCTAAAAATAATCATTTAAGTTTTCTCTTAAATTAGATCCACGTATATTAATGAAAAGGGACCAGATGTTTTATTTAAAACTAATTCTTTTGAATAGAATTTAGTAATGTAAATGTGACTGCTCTTGCATAAACGACCTGGAAAAGATCACTTGGTTTTTTAAGAAATGTTTAATAAATAGACATGAAGATTGTTCAACATTACCTAAACATTAAACTAGTCAGGTATTGGTTTATAGTTGCTTCTTTTCCTCCAATAATCAAATATCTATTGAGAACCCACTGTGTGCCAAGCACTGTTTGGGGATCTACCGAAACATTAGTGAGGGCATCATATACAATTTGCTTTTCTCACAAGTTCAAATTCTAGGAGGAGGAAAGCAAAAAATATACCAAATATGTATGTTCAATATGAAAACAGTAATGAGAAACATAGAGCTAAGTCACTGTGGAAAGGTTGTGGAATCTAGCCAGGAGTACAGGGATGTTCCCTAGAACTAGTGCAGACACACCTGACACCAACAGTTCTATAGAGCTGACCTAATCCTGGCATTTGGCCCTTGACCCATTTTCAGGCTACGGTGACCATATGAATAGTTTACTTAAATCTGACCAGTCCTACAACCATAAAGACCCAGTCATTCCTATTCTAAGCTCATTTATAAAAACTTATTTAAGAGATAAAGAGACAGAGACAGACAGACACAGATCTCCCATACACTAGTTCACTACCCAAATGCCCACGATGGATAGGATTGGACCTGGCTGCTGGGAATTCAATCCAGGTTTCCCACATGGGTGGCAGTGATCTAATACTTGACCCATCACTACCACTCCTGAGGTCTACATTAGCAGAAAGCTGGAGCTGGGAGCTGGAACTGGAAATTGAACCCAGATACTCTAAAACGAGAGACAGACTTCCTATCCAGTGCTTTAACTGCTCTACCAAATGTCTAGCAAATGAGGATTCATTTTCCCAGCTCCTGGCTTCACCGTAACCAGTGCTGGCTGATGTGGTCATTTGGTAAATGAACCAATGGATGAAAATCAATATCTCTCCTTCTCCCTCCCCCTGTCTCCCTTTCTCTCGCTTTCTCTCTCTTCTCTGATGCTCTGCCTTTCAGACAAATCTATCTTAAGAAAAAAGGAGGGGGGAGTAAGAATTGGAAGCTACCACTTCCATAGCATGCTGTCCCAAGCCCATTCATCTCTGTCAGGAGGGAGCAACTGGGAAATTTTACTGCAAGGATCTTCATCCCCATAAGAGAAGAAATCATGGCCGTTTTTCCAGTCAATCTGCTCACCTGCTCTGCTGGGATAAACCAGATTGCCTCACTGAGGAGGTGACATCTTGATAAAATGTGAAGAAGTTGTGGGAGAAGACATGAAGTTTTCACAGGGAAGATCATTCTAGCCATGGAGAACATCAAGCGCAAAGTCCTTAAGGCACTGGCATTCTCCAGTTATTAGACAACAGGAGGTATGTGCCCATCTCAGAGTGAGCAAGGAGAGACACACGTCACTGAAGTCTTGAAGTCTGGGGTGGGGGGGGGAGTGATTTAATGATTTCAACATTCAAAGCTCTGACTTTACAACATAAAATCACTTCCGCTTTCTGGCTCTCAGGTGAGAAGAAATCCCTCATCTCTAAATTACAGTGCGAAGCAGTGGATTTCAAATTGTTTTAAAGAGCTTAGACATTTCTTCCAGTGAAAGCTTTTATGGAATTGCTATATATAAAAAAGCACACTCAGAGGGGGAGAATCATAAAATAAAGAACTATACTCAGAACTGATCTGTTTAAATAATGGTGAAGGGAACGAAGTTCCCTCAGCTTCCTGACAGCCTGAAAACTCTTCCTTAAAAGTACTTTTCATAAGTAGACCAGATGATCTTTAAAATCCTGTCCATGTGCATGGTTGATATTTCCATGTTATGGTTGATATTAAATGAATATTTCCATAAACTGTCTGACATATCAGATTGAATGGTAACTGACCATTCATTCATCCACCCTACTATAATAAGCCCTGTACTCTGTCCAGAGGAAAAAACAAATCAGACTTGAGACTATGTTTACAACTAAACTACCAAAAAATCCACATCTTAGCCAGATATGTATATTGTGATTATTTCAGAATTTATCCTATTTACTGCTTTGAAAATTAATTTGAGATACTATTTCCTAGGACCATTTTCTGAGAATCCCAATGAGTGTTATCTATTTCTGTCTGCTTATGATAATTATGGTGCATAAAAGTAAGAAAAATATTACTTAGCGGAAAAATTACTCTTCTCTCACATTAAAACTTTATAGTTTAATAACTTTGATAGTAAATTTGTGATTCTGAGACATATGTAAGATAAGCCAAGACTTTTAAAATTTTTCATCCACTGGCAAAATTACACAAACACATAGGCAACAGGTTGTTTGAGAACACTCATTTAGGGCAAGGAGGAACACAGAGAGATTGTGAAATGCTTTCATTTTTACATCTAACTACTGAATCCCATTCATTCTTCAATGAATGAAAACATAAATAAAGGCTAGTAAGCTGTGAACATAATATTTTAAGATCTTTAGGCAAGGAGTTTCCTACCTTGAGAACACATTAGATTACTTCTAGCTTCTATAGATAATGCCACAAAATGCAGAGTTGTAAAATGGCAAAGACTATTCCATTCAGTCCCTAGTAACAGTTCATGACATCGAAAAAAATTATAGTCAGCAGAATATTGAAGATAAATAATTTCCTTCATATTTCTGAAGAAATGCACAAAACACACCTTTGATCGAAAGTGACATTTAGTAACCTGAACTGAGATTAGCTACAGCATTTGTCCTGAGAAATATTTTGCACTCATCTAGAACTTTTCATCTTAGACTCTCAAAAAAACTGAATACACTAATTCCATAATCCTTACAAAATTCCTATAGCTAAGTAATTATTTTTTATTCCTCCTCTGTTGATAAAGAAACCAAGCCATTGGAATTACCCAGTAATACCAAAAGTCAAATCTGACTATAAATGAGAGCTGTAATTTTGAATGTTTAACTTTCTACTATAAAATTGTATTATTTTATCAAAAAGTGAGTTTTCAAAATATATTTTAAAAAGGTTTTTCTAAATAATAGTAGGACAGAGGCAAAAACTTTCTTCCTGAGAAATAACAAAAAATAATTTTTACTCCTATATAATAACCTAAGATTTCCAACATTCAAACTATGCATGATTATATTGAAGAAACTCATTGAATGTTTACTTATTCAATTACAGAGAAGAAATATGTGAAATCTTGGAGAATTGGAAATCAGTAGGGTGACTGGACATTACAATGTAAGATCAATTTTCATTACAGATATGTTATATTTATTCAGGCAAGCAAAAGATGATAATGACAAAAATGTCTATCTGTTGGGTTCTTCATTGCTGTGAAAAGTGGTTATCCTGGTATACAGAATTAGAAATTATAATTACCAATGGAATGGTTTTTATTATAACTGTACAAGTAGATTTGTCTCAATATTTTCATACAATTACATTTCACCAATATATTAGCTAAGGTGTCTTTGCTTATTTACCAGCTGATATCAAACACTGCATAATCTACTTCTGTAGAGTCTCATTGTCAAAGTAGTTAGCATGCTGTAGGTTTGTATTTATTTTCACGTTTATTTGTTATCTATTTCCCCATAAGCCACACTGTATTGGAGACAGTATCTTTTTTGCAAATCTTTCTTGGTAGTTTGTATATCTCCCACATATGAAATATGAAGGTATTAACACATTCAAATATTATCATGGGAATGAGAACTCTGGCTAAACCGCACTAGACAGAAAATATTTTACATCATGTATTGCTACAGTGTTATTCTGGTAATCACACATACACTCACACCATTTACCCATGTAGCATGATGAAGTATGAAACAGTGCTTCAAGCATTAGGATTTTTTTTGGTTCTAAGATGATTTTCAGAAAACAACCAAATACTCTATCCAGAGTAATATAAATATATTAGTATAAGTTACTGTGAGATTTTCAAGCTGCTGTTGAAGTAAGTATACGAAATATCATAAATTTAATTGATTTAGTGGGTTCTTTGCCTAAAGTCCACATATGTTGGGTGAAAACATTTTTACACTTAAATCACTGCTAAACTTTTAGTTACATCTTTCTTTACAAGTCCCTTTTCTGGTTTTGGTGCCTGATATTTGATGAGGGAGTGTGAATGGATTCCCAAAATGAAGTTATATAGATCAACATGGTGCCTACCCCGGCATGGAACTGCTCCAGATTCCTTAAACTATTTCAGTAAATCATTTTAAAACTAACTAGCCGGATTTTAAAACCAGGCAAGTATATTCTTCTCTGTGATCTAACTTATAATATTTTATGTAACAAATTTTAAAAACCCTGATGAAAACAACAAAATAAAAACTGTTCCGAGTACTATTATTCTTTAGAACAAAATATTTAAGCATAGTCATGGGACTTCAGTCTTAACTGCAATTTGGAGGAAAGCAATTTGTTGTTACGATATTTTCTTTTTTTTTTTTTTTTTTTGACAGGCAGAGAGGACAGTGAGAGAGAGAGAGAGAGACAGAGAGAAAGGTCTTCCTCTGCCATTGGTTCACCCTTCAATGGCCCCCGCAGCTGGCACGCTGCGGCCAGCGCATCACACTGATCTGAAGCCAGGAGCCAGGTGCTTCTCCAGGTCTCCCATGTGGATGCAGAGCCCAGGGACTTGGGCCATCCTCCACTGCACTCCCGGGCCATAGCAGAGAGCTGGCCTGGAAGAGGGGCAACCGGGACAGACAGAATCCGGCGCCCCGATCGGGACTAGAACCCGGGGTGCTGGCGCCGCAGGCAGAGGATTAGCCTAGTGAGCCGCGTCGCCGGCCACAATATTTTCTTAAACATCTGCATTTCTATGATCGCACATGTGCCAATGTCATTGAGTGGGTTGCACGCATCAACAAAGGCAAAGAGAATGTATCAGTCATTCAATTCTGCCTTTATAAGTCACAATTGGTCCCTGTTAGAAACAGTAAGTAACAGGGAATGAAACAGAAAAGGAGAGAAGCAACTCAACAGTTGGAGCAGGTTTGCTAGAGACTAAACCTGAGAGGGGTCCTCAGTCACAGAGAGCAAACACCCACCCAGGCCTCCCCCACCCACTCCCATCACAGGCTGAGAGGGTTTTATAAGCTAAGATGGGGAGGGACTCCCCAGCTCTCCCACCTCTGCAACCACTGCAAGCTGCAGGTGAGGGTGGATGGCTGAGCATCCTGGGCAACTGTAGGCAAGAAGAGGGTAGACACATAGCTCAGCTTTCTCCCTTCCTGCTTGTGGCTTCTGTCTAGCTCTCTTCTTGCTGCTGTGTTTTCACTTTTTCCCATTAGTTCTGGCCTGAAGTCAAGGCAGGAACTCCGGTTTTCAGATTCTAGGACAAGTGCTCCTGCTACTGCTGTGCTGTTAGAAGGTTGTGCTGTAGTGTCCCTTGGGCTGCCACCATGTGTACTTGTATAATCTATCTCGGTGCCTGATTTGGTTTTTAATCCCTATATTGGAAGAATGAAAGTCTCCATTTTATTTGAGGTATAACTGACTGAAATGATTTAGCTTATAGGTAAGTATTACAATATCTTGATGATTATTCACAATGGCTTGTAGAGTGTTTAATAGTGTAAGGTTTGTGTGTGTGATTTAGCAGTTCATACTAATTTAGTTCCCACTAATCATATTAGAAATGCCATTTGGCAGTCAGACAGAAGAATACCTTTTGCTTGATACAGACTCATTTGAAAGAGCAGTCTGCAGTCTTCCCCATTCATTTTAGATATCATAATGAATGCTGATGACAAAGCTGTATGAAACGGTAGACATGTCCATGACTAGAATCTCCCGTCTCTGATTTTTTTTTTTTTTTTGCCACCTTCAAATATTGCTTCTGGGTGTACTTTTAAATTTAATCAGAATAAATGCATGCAAACTAAAAAAAGTTGCCCACAATATACAGACAGTGAAATGAATAAAACCTGGAAAGCCATTTGCATTTTAGTATGTGGATCAGGAGATAAGACGCAATATTGGCTCATTTTCAGTGTGGCAAAAGAAAGTATAATTTTTAGTACTCCTGCTAACTTCTATTATCCACACGGGAGCTGTTATTATCTGCATAATGTACTGAGCCATTTGCAATTAGGCTTACTGTTCAGATTAGTCTCCCTTGGTTTCAAGTCACTTTCACTTGAAACGATAAAATTAAATTAGCAGTCTTACCCAGGTCACAGTGAAGTGTCCCTGGATGGAATTTGCAGGCTACTGTTGCTCTGTTACAGTTTTCATATCACAACTTGGATGCAATTGAAATATTTCTGCAGATACCTTTGTCCCATTCATAGAGCTTTTTAATAAAAGAAGGTAATATGTGATTTTGTTTAATTCCATTTCTTCCAGTTAGCTATTGTACCACAGATGATAATGCCAATAGAATGCTTCATTTTGGAGTACATCTCAAGCTATGTAATGGGGTTTATATTACAAATTAAAATATATTAGTATGATAAAAAATGCTGAAGCCCAACCACAACACAAGTTGCATTTTCTTTTCTTTGAAGTGGGAGGTGGAATTACTGTATGAAGTATGTCTGTAGAAGAACCAGCTGGTTTCTTTCTAGCTGTAATTTGTTTCCTTTTATTTCGTTCTTTTTTCCTTGATGTGCATATATCAGATACAATCGGAGGAGATGTTTATTTATTTTGCTTTATGTTTTTGTCGGTTTCTGATTTCAGAGCTTAGGGAATCTAGAAGGTTTTTTTAATAGAAAATAACTGGAATAAGCAGAAATATTAGCATTTACATTCAAAATACACAGCATTTTGTAACTGAAAAAAAGGGAAAATACCACGTGAAACTGACAACAATGTTGATATTCTAACAGGGGTGATAGTTATATTTTACCCTGTTTGTTTAAAATAGAAGATACATTTTTAGTATGGGCTAATTTTTAGTACTCCAGTTGCACCTATACCTTCACATCCATGCATTTTTTTTCATAGTCTTCCCTCTACTTGGAATCCTCTTTCCCCAGTTTTTCCAAGTTTTATTTTTTCCTTCCAGCCACAGTTCCTCCCCTTCTGCAAAGGCCCCCTACATCCCTAGAATGATAAGTGCATCTCATGCATGTGTGGGGGAGAGAGACAGAGAGAGAGAGAGAGACAGAGAAAGAGAGAACAAGAATGTCAGAGCAAGAGAGATGATGAATGCTGTTTAGACAAGATATTCCTACCTCAGTTTGACCAAATCTGACCACTTAACACATTTTTGATATCTGACTTGCACAAAAAAAGCATGAACTTGAATTTGAAACTCTTGTTTGAATATACTTGAGAATAGTACTGCTCTACCTAATAAAGGGAAATTAGACAAGAAAAATTGCTTTGCCTGAAGATTTTTTAATACATAATTTTGCCATATTACTTTGAACTCTAATGTTCTGGCACATTTACTGCTGTTTTGGAGGAAGGGAAGGTGGGAGAGAAAGAGAGAGAAAGATTTTTCACCCTCTTGTTCTTTTCCCAAATGCCACAACTGTAGGGGCTGGGACAGGATTCCACCAGGAGCCAGGAGCTCTGTGTGAAGTCTCCCATGTGGGTGACAGCAACAGAGCTGCTTAAGTCATCACCTGCTGCCTCCCACGACACATCAGCAGGACTCTAGAATCAGAACTGGATTCAGGACTTGAACCCAGGCACTCTGATATGGCAAGGGAGCATCCTAAGTAGCATCATAACCACTGCACCAAATGTCCAGCCCTCATTTGTTTGTAAGTTTAGAGATGCGATTGGAACTTCTTCTCAGAAAAATGACCATAGATATGCAATTTCTATTAGAATTCTTAAAATTGAAAATTTCTGACAGATCAAGTTAGTGATTGATCTAATTATAAAGTCTCACTAGAATTCATATAACCCTTATTTTTTATTCCTCATAGTGTATTTGTCCATTTTTATCAATAATTACTAATGTTGATTACAAAATGTCATGTTAAGATACACTCCAGGCTGGCGCCGCGGCTCACTAGGCTAATCTTCCACCTAGCGGCGCCGGCACACCGGGTTCTAGTCCTGGTCGGGGCGCCGGATTCTTTCCTGGTTGCTCCTCTTCCAGGCCAGCTCTCTGCTGTGGCCAGGGAGTGCAGTGGAGGATGGCCCAAGTGCTTGGGCCCTGCACCCGCATGGGAGACCAGGAGAAGCACCTGATTCCTGCCTTCGGATCAGCGTGGTGCGCCAGCCGTGGTGGCCATTGAAGGGTGGACCAATGGCAAAGG